GGAAATAATTTTCACAAAAACAAACGCTTCATCCTTTTATGTTGTTTTCCAGGTGAACATCTTCGCGTATGTCCCCAAGGAACCACGTGTTGCACGCAGGAAATGGAGGATAAGTTTGGCCAACAGAGTAAACTGGACTTTGAAAATTTGGTGGATGAAATGAGTCATGAACTGAGGAGCACGTTTGTTTCTCGACACCAGAGATTCGACGGTAAGTCTTCGACTTTATTTCCAAAGCTTTGGACTCATTATGTATAAATATATACAGTCCTATTTCATGTTCCCCAAGTTTTAATTTTCAACTGTTTTAGTTCTTCACAGTTGCACAGATTTCTGCACAAAAGTTAAAGAAGCGAGGGTGGCTTTTTTCCCTCTTGCTTTTTTTTTTCTTCGTTAATTTGAAGGGATTCACTTTTTTGTGCAAGTGTATCCGTCCTCCCTCAAGAGGAGTTGTGATGTGAAAATCTCATTAATATGTCTTGCTGTGGAGAAGGCTCTTGTTGGATTAGACAAACACGGCTTCTCGCACAGCAGATTGACAACTTTAACAGCTGTACGCTGCCAAACTCTGCATTATTAAGGTTGTTTGGTGCTCCTTCTGCTGCATGTGATCTTGTCTCGGCCCCTCTGTGACTGTCTTGACCACCACACGAGCACACAGCCTCTGCTATGGGAGCAGATGTGCCCATTACTGAACCGAGCTCTATGGAGTCAGCTCCTTGTAGATACTATTTAATGAGAAAAAATAATCCCTCCACCTCTCTACATTAGGCCGCGTAGAGAGCAGCGGCTTATCGCTGTGGACAAAGAGAGTGAAGGGTAGTGGAGGTGAAAATTGTCAGCCAGTCGCCAGTTTTCTTAAGCATTTTATTAAGGATGCGGCTTGAAAAAAGTTGAGTTAATACTTACAGGCCAATTCAAGATTACTGTGTTTGGAATATCTTTGTCTGTGCTTTATAGTTGGACATAACACAGAGACAAATACAGAGTTCTATAATTACTCACTGTGAGGAGACAGAACATCTGCCAATAACCATTAATTCCAAGTCATTTCTCCAAATGCAAGTCTTCTTTTGAAGTCTCCTATTTATATATTCTTCTATATTCTTGTAACATTACAAAAACACATGCTGTGACGACTTAAAGAAAATATACAGAAATACATCAGGTACTTTAGTAGGATGATAAAAAATAAGTTAATAATCACATTTAGTAGAACTGACACTACAGACTTTACTTTGCAAATTATGAAATCAAATCCAGTGTGACACGTGAGTATTACATGCACATGAACAGCAAAACGTCTTTGTTACTTAAATATAAAAACATAATTATATATTAATATATATTAATATTATATAATAAATGCAAATGCACTGTGTAACATGATTGTGCAATGATATCATAATCCTGTAAATCTCCACCATGAATATTAATTATTTATGTGTAGAAAAAATACTACTAATCATTTGCTGGTCACTATCTGATATTTTATCTATTTATTTATTTATAGAGTTTCCCCCCTGTTTACCAGTAAACATGTACATATTGAAATAAATACCATATTAATCTTAATACTTACATGAATAAATCGACTTATATGCACTTTTTTTCACACGTCCAAAGATCCAACAGGCTACTGCATACATAAATATACATCAACATGTGTTATTTCTCTCTAAAACCGGGGTCTCAATTCAGCTGAGGGTCTGTGCTGCCATTCTCGTTTCACTGGAGGGCCATATCAGTGTTCAACGGTCAACACAGAAAAACAAAATATTATAAATGGGATGTGGTCCCCGGGCTGGGCATTTTAGTCCCTCCTCTAATGTATCGCTCCCCCCAATGATTCCATAATTTATTTTGTCCAAAATTATTACATTTCACGTCCAAAAGGGAAGAGTTTGGAGAGAAGACATGAGCAGTGGGCTCTGTCAGTGTATCCAGTGTCGCTGCTAAATAATGGTTGAGTGATTAATAGAGCAATTTAATCCTCACCAGTCAATGTCCTGTGTCCTGGGCTTGTTCTCCACAAACCATTCAACCTCCCGTATGAAACGAATACTATTGAGCCACAGTATACAGCCCTCAGATGATTGCACGCTGCCCAGAAACTCAATGTCACAATGACTGGGTGATGTCTGTCTGTTTGTTTTTTCCAGGAATATACAATTCTTTGACCTGCATGTGGTTCCTGGAAACGTGCATAAATAAATAAGTGTTATTTTGATCAGCTGCTGACAGGATGGTGGATGTCAGGAGCACAACTCCATTGAGGAAGGAAATGGGGTTTGTCCAGCAGCACTTAGATGCATGACTCTAGGCAGCCCTTATCCTCCCGAGGTTTGCTGCCACTCTCCATAATTTCATCAACGTCAGATGCTCCGTGCAGGTTTTCAGCTCCACAGCACAGCTGCCGTTTGGAGACTCCGTGTCTGCTGAGGGTCTTGACTGACCACCCGCTCGGGAAATATGTCGTATTGATTGCCAGATTTGAATTTCACTTTTATTTTTATTTGTTATAATTGGATCTGAGTGGTTGGAGTGGCGTTGTTGTTAGTTTTCGGCAGGAGATATCAGGTGTGATTTAATACGTCTCTGCCATGAGAAGAACAGAGCACATGGAATTCAGCAGTTCAGTTAGTATTTCAAACTTCAAACACTCACTGAAATAATACTGAGGCCAAACAGAGCTCAGATCAGTGCTGGAGGCAGTTCAGCTCCTGGATAAAAAGGGTGGCGTCTGGAGTCTCTGTTGGTCTCTCTGCTAATGTGTCCCTGGACAAGGCACTCAATCCTAATTAGCTCAACATTTCCAACCACTAGGAAGCATCAGTCTGTGTTGGTGGTGTGTCCCCTGGAAATGTCCAATGAGGGGAGTGGGGGGGGGGCTGCTTTGCACAGAAACACTCACACATTAGGGGCAGCGGCTACAGTAATTGCAGTTTCTTTGTCGCCTTTTTCCTGCCTTGAGTGATGATTGTAGGTAACACAGTGGCATGTTGCCTTACAGCCGGAAAGTTATTATATCAAGGCAGAGCTCTAACTGATCTGGTCTTTCTGTACAGACCTTGCACGTTCTCCCAGTGTGAGCAGAGGTTTTCCCTCGCAGTCTAGTTTCCACCTGCAGGTTGATTCACACTTCCTGACCCCACCCCCACCCCATATCAATACAAATATTTACAACATACCCTCAGGTCGACACATTAACAGTGAGTTCTGCGAATGGCCATCAGTTCTGCAGATCATCTGCTAATTACGATAAAGTTCTATTCAGTATAATTTCATAACTGTGGAACAAATTGAAAAAAATACTAAAATTTCCCCCTCAATAGCGTTGCAGTAAACCTGACATCATAAATTGGTCATAGGTGTGAGTGTGACTGTTAATGGTTATTTGTCTCTGTACATGGCCCTGTGATGGACTGGTGAACCCTGCCGTCGCATAATCACTGTTGGGATTGGTTCCAGCTTTCTGCGACTTTGAGAAGGATTAAGGGATAGAGAATGGACGGCTGTTTTAGGGGGGGGGGCAGATTATTTTGCCTTGTTAGTTATACTTTAAAAGAAGCAATATACTCCCTCTCTCTGTTGTTATGCTGACTGCACAGTATTGCCTTATTCACAGAAGCAGCGCAAACACTCCGTGTGGTGAATCCTTAAGGAATCAGTTCAGTCAGAAATTTGAACTTATATTTATTTTATATATATACTGTATATACACATACACATGTTTCATTCACTCTTTATACAGTAAATATGTAATCAGATTAGATAGGGGGCGCTTTAGGGTTGATTCTTTGCATGTAACACTCTGTTACAGTTGATCTGATTTTGTATCAGCTACATTGTATTAACTATATGGTGATTAGTTTTGCTTGAATTATAGTACTGAGTACTTGTACTCAGGTTGCACTGTGGTTTAAAGTTAGGTTCAAAGGGCTTTGTCTCTTATATTGCTCGTTCTAACTATCATCACTGTCTTGACTTCAAAGTGATTGCCAAATGTTAGCACCTGTAAAACTTACAAAAGTAGACCAGCGGTAGTTCCGCTGACATTGTGTGCTCTTGTGTTTAGCAGGAAGTTCAAATGTGAGGGATAATAATGAGTCGTGGTGTGTAATTTTAACTGTGGCGTCCTGCCACTACAGTGGTCCTTCAAGTACCGCTCCAAAGGGAAGGATAAATGGAGAGGGCTGCATCAAGAAGGGCATTCTGGGTAAAAACCTGTGCCAAATGCTAAATGTGGAAAAAATGGCAACGTTTAAAACCGGGAGAAGCCAAAAGAACCAACATTAAAGCTGGAGGACATAACAGTGGGTGATAATTGTTGTTACTATATTGAGAAGTACAGGTACACAAGTCAATGGAGGTGATACTCTTAATTGGCTCAGCGTGAACTAATTTGAGTCTTTTGAAAGTAGCTTATTATTTATTTTTATTTTTTTATTTGACTGAGTTGATTCAGATGCTGTATTACATCCACTGGCAGTTGAGTCTGTCGTTCCACCTACACAAAGTTAATGTATGTGTAGGATTCCTTTTGTTTTTGCAGCGTTATGTGATGTGAATTAATGTGCCTGAGAGAAGCTGGCCAGCCTACGCGTACCTGACATTGCAGCCCCTTGTATCACAGACAGAGGGCACCGTCTGGACGCAGCCAAGACCATCTAAGCAGAAACACGGGTATATCTGAAACTAGTCACGGATTACATCTGTTTGATTTCATGTCAGACATGTTTGCGCACACGCTGTTATTGCTCCGTTAATATGCAACTTGTGTTTTGAAACAGCGGGTCTGTTGTGATGATGATGCCAACGCTGGAAATCTGCGTATAAATCTATCATCCTTTTCTCCTCTGCTTATTAAAGACAAAATCATTCATCTTAATTGCTAATCAATTGTTGGCCCTCTCGACCACGTACACCGTGGTGCTGGGCAGCCTAACGGAATATTAATGTGCTCCAGCCTTCACGATTGATCTTTTGTTGCAGTCATTGATGCACACAAAAGGTTGTTGAATTTTGTTTATCTAAACAAGGAAAGATTGGGTGAATTCTCCTCGCCCCGCAGTGTCTGCCATTGTCAACGTGCCCATGGGCAAACATCTTAGAATGAAAGAAAGAAGCCCCGTGGATAACGCCAAACCAAGTGTGTGTAGATGAATGTGGAGCTGGGCGGTGCTGAAAAGGGCATGCTTGCTCAGCAAA